ATACAGCTTGAGAAGGCAAAAATAATTTTTCCAGGATCCTTTTCAATTCCTGTTTGTCTTGGACACCCTGTAGAAAACTTCAGTTTTTAAAGCTTTTAGTGAAAATGGGTTGTTCCAGTTACAAATTACTTGCAGATGGCTTTGGAAGTACTACGATAAGCACACTGGTCACCAGCACAGCCACAGAACTATTTATATACCATGATACTTGGAAGCCCTTCTCACAAAACAGAAGCCTGCTCTGCAGGGTGCTGTACAGAGAGAGAAAGGTTACTTTTGTCCTTGAGAGTTTACGCTCAGTGTAAGAGAGAAAAAGAAAAACAATACTGACATATGGACAAGGATATAAAGAAAACAAGACAACAATTTCAGAACAACAGACTCTGGTTTTGCACACCCATAGTCTACCTCAGCTTCCTTCGAGCATCATCTATTACTTGACTCTGTGGAACAGGAAGGAAACAACTATGCTCCACATCAACAACATCCAACAGTGGCCACAGCACTTCAGGAGGTGAAAGACTGCTCTCTTCAAACTAATTGCAGAGTTCAAACAGTATTTCAGTACCAAAAGACCAATGTCTGACTGTCAGCAACATCTTACGCTCCCTCTTGTTATTTTGGAAGGCCAGGCTCATGATCTCTCAGCTAAAAAGACTCATCTAACATTTGGGTGCATGAAAACAGTAGCTACCCTGAGCACAAAACAATATTGAAAGGAAAACTTAGGGTAAAGCTGGATGATTTAAAGAAATATCTGTCTCTTTCTAGAAGCTAAGTATCACCATTATTTCCAAGACAAAGAGGATACCTCCTTCAATGAAAGCTGGGTAGTAAAAATAATCTGAGTAATTTTATCAAGAATTGAAGATGACACCTCTGCAAGAAGTCCCAGATAATTCAAGATGATGTCAGACAAGGCCTGCTTGGGGAAAACTAATTGCTTTATTTTTCAGACAAATTAACATGACATAAAAAGATCATATGAAGTTTACTGTTTCTAATAAATCACTTACACACTGGAGAAAAGAGAATGGTCTCATTCATCCTCTCTCATCTCAAGTTTCACCTACCATTTAATTGACAGATATTTAAAAAACAAGCTTACAGAAGTATCATAAAACAAGAAATACTCCCAGAACTTACTGTATGCCTTAGTCTATTCTAGATCACACTTCAGACAAAACCACAGATGTCATCAGATTACAGGCTTGCCCATAAAATATGAGTAGGGTATAATACTTCTTTTTCTTCTAGTGGGGGTTTAAATCTTATACGTAGAAATGTGCTGTTTATGCTGGAGCACTGTCAAAAGAGTTACCTAGAGCTTTGCAACCTAAGAAGCTTTGTTATCAGCACCATAAGAATAATTAAAATTTCAGTGTTCCATCCTCTGGTACTCATACTAGAACTCAATGCTAAGGAAATTCTCTCTCATACCACTGTAGCCACATTATGTGGAAGAGATCCACATCTCTAGTTAAAAGGCAAGTGAATAAAATAGGAAAAAGTAGGGTGAAAACTGGGAAAGTGTGCTTCTGGATGTCCAAAGACATTCATTCTGAAAATATGCTTGGTTCTTTGCTACCTTTAAAGTTTAAGAAAACAGAGAAAACTGAAGCTACTCAGACAACTGCAAAAACACTGGTCAAGCACATGTACAGAACACTAGTGGGCTGAGAAGACTAAAATATAGTTCAGTCAATACAATAAACTTAAAGAGGAAATTACTTGTGTGGATTTACTGCAACAGACTTTTCATTGAGGAGAAGTGAGGTAGGTCAGTAAAAACTAATTTGTACAATGTGCTTCAAAGACAGGACTACTACAGGGACTTTGTAGAAACAAGCTCTAAGGCAATAAAAGAAGATTCAAAGATAAGTGGAAATACTGTTGCTTAAACCTCTGACAAACAGATTCCACAAAGGACACTGTGAAAATAATATTCAGTAGGAGGATACTAATATATTTATCTCAACTGTGACTCACTGTTAAAGAACATCTATTTTCTTATAGGAACACCTATAAGTAAAATGAAATCCCTTTCACTGACCTAAACCATAGGGAGAATGCTGTATCTCTAACTGGATTTTCTTTATATTGGCAACTCCTTGTCTTAAGACACAAGAAGTAGAGGCCCAAACCAGCTTTTTTATAAAAGAGAATATTACAACTGTGTTAAAATCAAGTAAAGGAAATCTTCATGTGTATAGCAGATTAAACAGCAGAAAAACAAAATCCAAGATCAGAACATTACCTTCCTTTCTCACAAAATAAAGGGTTCATGGACTTCCTTGTCATGACTATAACCTTAAATCTGTAAAATGATGCAACAGTCCTAGTTCTACATCTATGTTAACAGAAAGTGTACCACCACTCATGTCAGTAAGAAAGAGTCTCAATCTTTGAACAAAGTTTCACTGATGCTTACTCCAGAAAAACTCAGTTGACACATTGTATCCTTTTGCACACTATTTTCAAAACTTGAGGTTTTAGGAATATATGATTTAATCTGCCTTTAAAAAAAAAACAAACAACTGCTGTTTTCATTTTTAGTTATGCTAAACAGGTTAGCCATATTAAAAATGTTTCTGTTCAAGAGAACACATGTGCTCTCTTATCTCTCATTAGTGGTCCACCACCAGCTTGGTAATCTGCAAAATCATGTATACAAGACCTGAAAAAATCCCCCTCCAATAATTAGCTATTTTACATTCACAAATATTCAAATAATCAAAAAGCCTTCAGGGACAACAATAGTTACTCTCCATGGTTTAAACTATAACTAGAGGGGTTTTTGCAAGTTCTGTCACCAAGTAAGTTTTTTTAATATCAATGAACACAGTTAAATTAACAGTCCCCCCCATGAGCCTCTTCTTAGTTCTTAAGCAAAAATTTACACAACTGAAAAAATACATACAGTGCCACAATTTATATTTTCATTTAATGCATGAAAAAATTATCATAGCTCTGACACATGAATGAAATCTGAACTCTAAGTTCCTCGTGTATTTCACTAGCTTAGGGATCTTTAACAGTACAACACACGCAGGAGCAATACACAGGTTACAATCATCATGTTATTTGGATTCCCTCTGGTTTCCAAAACACTTATAACACACTGTGTTCCAAACTAAACTTGTCACAAAGCAATGATTCAAGATTTGATCACAAATTTTTGATCCCTGAATCCGTATCCCTTTGCTGCTGTTGGACAGTGCTGGTTTCAAGGCAACACAAATAAAGAAACATACACATACTTTGAACTTTATACTTCTTTCTGTATAATTTCATCTTTTGTAGTAAAACTGCACATTGATAAGCCTAAATTAAAAAGATTCTATGAAGCGAATATGAAAAGCACTAAATTCACAGACAGAAGCATGTGGAATGTGAAAATAATTTAAGCATTTAAGCTTCATAAGAAAACCTGTCAGCTTAATAAATCGTGGAAAATATTTCACTGTGTACCATTTTTGTTAAGAGAATGTGTAATAGTTATACCTTCATGCCTACACCAGTACCATGCAGATGCACAGAATCACAGAACTATTAAGGTTGGAAGGGACCTTAAAGATTATCAGATTCCAACCTCCCTGTTATGAGCAGGGACACCTCGCACTAGACCAAGCTTCACAAAGCCTCATCCAACCTGGCCTTGAAAACCTCCAGGGAGGAGGCAACCCCAACCTCCCTGGGCAACCTGTTCACAACCCTCACACTAAAGAATTTCTTCCTGGTGTCTAACCTGAATCTCCCCTCTTCCAGTTTAAAACCATTACTTCTCGTCCTATCAGTACCCTCCTTGGTGAAAAGCCCCTCTCCAGCTTTCCTGTAGCCTCTTCAGGTACTGGAAGGTGCTATAAGGTCTTCCAGGAGCCTTCTCTTCTCCAGGCTGAACAGCCCCAACTCTCTCAGTCTGTCTTCATAGCAGAGGTGCTCCAGCCCCTTGATCATCTTCATGGCCCTTCTGTGGACCCTCTCCAACAAATCTATATCTTTCGTGTGCTGAGAGTTCCAGAGCTGTACACAGTATACCAGGTAAGGTCTCACCAGAGCAGAGGGGCAGAGTCCTCTTCCTGGCCCTGCTGTCCACACTTCTTTTGATGCACCCCAAGATGTGGTTGGCCCTCTGGGCTCCAGATCACACTGGAGGCTCATTATTGAGCTTCTCATCTACACCCACCCCCAACCTCAACAGGTACCACACACTTGTGCACCTTCAGGTTCTTTAGATGGTCAAGAACCTCTTCTTCTCCTTCAGTGGGGGGTACTTCATTCTCCCAGTTCCTGCTTTCACCTGCTGTGGCCTTTGCAATGAGGACGTAGCACATTCCAGAGAAGACCACGGCACTGCAGTGTAAAGACACCTGAGCTAACAGAGATACCAAAAGGAATCCACTCACAGAACCACAGCCAAGTAAGACAACTTGTAACGCTTCCACAATATCGATGCTAAACTATTTCTGGTACCACACACTTTCATTTTATAACTACAATACCTTTAAGCACAACAAATAATGCAGGCTAAGCACATTCAAAGAAAATACAGTGTCTCAAACCACACAAAACCATGGAAATAAGTATCTCAGAACAAGGTGGAATGATGAACTTAGTACCTCCTATGCAAAAGGAAAACGGCTGTTAGCAAATTGATGGCATAACTATGTATAAGAACTCCCTGCTACTATCAGTAATTAACACAAACCTAGAAATAAAAAAGAACAATCCAGAAAGACAAGAACAAAAGCAAGAGATAATTCAAATACTACAGTTTCAATACTGCTTATTTGGGGATTCAGGCATACAGATACTAGATTATTATTTTGAATACAGAGTCTTCATTTGAATTGCAAAATAATTTAAAACCTTTAAAAGGTGCAACTGATTCTTAAAGAGCATCCCTTTACTCCTCTAAACGAAACATACTCTTGCATTGCACAATTTTTTTCTGCTGGACTGCTACAGAATCACAAATGTTAATTAATCATGTCACTCACCTGGCCTGGCTGAGGAGATAAACAATTAACAACCTCCTCCAGCATCACTGGTATGTGCCATCTTTCAGAATTGTTTTCTGTACTTTCAGGTAACTCTTCTTTTTCATGTTGCTGGGTGGTTTGTTCATTTAATTCACAGTCAGAAAGCTTTTTTTCTGAAGAATGGATCCATCTAGCCAAAGTGGCCACAGTTACTGAGTTCAGTTTTAAGTTGTGCAGAAACAGACATTTGTAAGCTTGGCACAGACTCTGAGACAACATTCTGGAGGTGACCAACCTAGAAAAACAGTAGATGTCAGGAATTACTTTGAAACAAATACTTAAATGACTATGTTCATTTAAAATACAAAGTGGAAATGCTAAAAGCACAGCACTACACAGTCCAAGATGGGTGGTCTTCTAGACACGTCAGCAAAAAGCAAGAATCTCTGACTTGTGTTAGAATTTTCAATGTTATCTACCAAAAAATCACATTTAATCAACAATGGTTTTCTTTTTGTAAGGAACAACTCTTT